CCCCAGGTTCAAGCTATTCTTCTGCCTCAGCCTCCCAAGTAGCTGGGATCACAGACATGCACCACCATGCCCGGCTAATTTTTTTTTTTTTTTTTTTTAGCAGAGACAGGGTTTCACTCTATTGGCCAGGCTGGTCCTTTGGCATATTTTTCTCTTAATTTAAAAAACTTATTTTGAAGCGACTGCCATTTCTGAGGGAGCCTCAGAGAGGAGCCTGGGCATAGCTCTGAATTCTCTTCTGTTAAAACTTAGATTTTTTTTTTTAGAAGGAGCTTCGTTCTGTCACCCAGGCTGGAGTGCAGTGGTATGATCTCGGCTCACCACAACCTCCCTCTCCCAGGTTCAAGCGATCCTCCCATCTCAGCCTTCCAAGTATCTGCAATTCCAGGTGCTTGCCACCATGCCTGGCTAATTTTTGTATGTTTAGTAGAGACAGGGTTTCACCATGTTGGCCAGGCTGGTTTCGAAATCCTGACCTTAGGTGATCCACCCACTTTGGCTGTGAAACTTAGATTGTATCTGTAGAAGAATTGCCCTTGTGTGGCCAGGTGGCAAGACTGGGTAATGGGATTTGGAAACAGAATCCTGGCAAAACTCTCAGGTCATAGAAATGTCCCTATTTAACAGTGGCACCTTCTTTTGCAGCTAAGTTCTGCATACCTTTGGAGAGAGATTAAAATACTTGCTGAAGTTAAGTCAATATTATCAACTAGATTCTAGGCCTCTTGAAGATGTGTACCGGGTCTCAGTTCTCTCTGGTGACCTCTGCCCACATAGCTACAGTTTGATGGTCCACTGGCAATGTGTTCTTAGTGCCGAGTCTGCAGAACCAAAGTGTCAAGGACAGTGCTTGTGACATGCCAAGAGAGAGGTGAAGAGTTTTTTCCAATGGCTGCTAACTAGATGCGACTGAAATCTAATGAACATATATTCAGGTTGTGATTATCGGTGTGCATGTTATCCATTTTGTGCAGAGATAGCATATTTTAAAATTCTGTGCCTCAGTAAAAATACTGTTCATCAAACTAATATTTTTTGAGGGTCTGCTTTGTGGCAGACGCTGTGCCCCAGACCAAGGACTCAAAGGTTAAACAGATTCCTTCTCAATCCCTGTGCCCCTACCCACTGCCAATGAGGTTTGTAGTTTATTTTATTTATTTATTTATTTAAAGACGGGGTTTCACCATGTTGGCCAGGCTGGTCTCGAACTCCTGACCTCAGGTGATCCTCCCGCCTCGGCCTCCCAAAGTGCTGGGATTACAGGCGTGAGCCACCGCGCCAGGCCGAGGTTTGTAGTTTATATGGGAGATACATATACACATGAACTAAGTATACAAAGCCTTACAAACGTTTTACAGCTGTGACAGTATAAGTCTAAGAGGACTCAAAGGAGGGAGAAGTAACTTCTCCAAGACATGCTGTGCTAGCCATTAGAACATAAGGCGAATCTATGTGTAATTTGAAATTTTCTAGTAGCCACACAGGTTAGATTGATTTTAATAATTTATTTTGTTGCATTTAATGTATCTAAAACATTATAATTTCTAGAGGTAACCAACATAAAAAAATGTTTAAGGTGTGAAATGTTTTACATTCTTTTTGTCATACCACATATTTGAAACCCATTGTGTATTTTATACTTACAGCACGTCTCAACTCAGGCCCTAAATGTTTGTCAGAAATACATGGTTTGTATTTAGATTTCATTAAGTTCACAGTTGAAAAAGTAGATTCTCATAACCAAGTTCCAAAGATACATAAACGTTTTCCAGTAATTGAACTGAGCATCTAAAATTTAAATTGATTGACACTGAATGGGATTTGATATTGACTTCCTCAGTTGCACTAGCCAACTTCAAGTGCTCAATAGACGCCTGTGGCTGTTGGCTTTCTTGTTGGACAGGGCAGGAATAGAGAGCGAGAAGGAGGGATACAGGATTGATTTCATAAAGCAGGTGATGCAGCTGTCACCACACAGACAAGGCAGGGCCAGGAATCCCAAGAGTTTCTCTTCAGTGCCCCCATGGCCAGCCATTCTGTGTCCATGGGAAAGAAAGACACTGCAAGGCATAGCTAGAGATCGAGAATAACCTATTCCAGGCCAGGCACAGTGGCTCACGCCTGTAATCCCAGCACTTTGGGAGGCTGAGGCGGGTGAATCACCTGAAGTCAGGAGTTAAAGACCAGCCTGGTCAACATGGCAAAACCCCATCTCTACTAAGAATACAAAAGTTAGCCAGGCGTGGTGGCGTGCACCTGTAGTCCCAGCTACTTGGGAGGCTGAAGCAGGAGAATTGCTTGAACCCGGGAGGCGGTGGTTACAGCGAGGCAATATCGCACCACTGCCCTCCAGCTGCGCGACAGAATGAGGCTCCATCTCAAGAAAAAAAAAAAAAGAATAACCTATCCCACATGGAAATTATAACAGGCACCACTGATCACACCACTACCTCCCTCAACTTATATGGAACACTGAGACCCATCCACAAGAAGAGACACAGGCAGCACAGACAATTAAGCAATCTGCCCGACTTTGCAGAGCATTGCATATTTATGAGCATGGTGAAGAGATTATATAGGACTTGGGAAGTAAGGGCTCCAAACCACAAAGGTAAATGGCTGGGCCTGCTTGCTGTGGTTTTTCTGCTGATGGGACCCATGAATGCAGTTCTCCTCCTTCGGTGGTTTTAATGCTGAATGTGTAAAACCCTCGGCAGATTGTGTAACATCCCCCGGGCCCAGCTGCTGGTCCTGCCCATTGAAGGGGAACTTCAAACCCATTCCTTGGCTGGCAGCTGCACGGTGGAGGGCATCCCAGGAGACGTTGTTGGGAAAGGGTGGCGTTACTTTGGAAGTCGGTTCAGTTTTTGTCAAGCAAGTCAGGAAGCCCCTTTTTTGAGGTTATACTGGAACAATTCCAGTTCTTTTTTTTTTTCCCTTCCTGCTTACCTGTGAAAAGGCAGAGCTGGAATCCTTTGTTGGCCACGCCATTTCTCCAGGGCTTTGAAGGTGACAGGCCCCTGGAGCCTTCCTATGAGCCCACAGCTGGGCCTGGCAGCCTTTCTGCCCTTTCCAGTACAGCCAGTGCTCGACTTACGACCACGATTGGTGCCGACAGACCGGTCGTAACACGATTTGGTCATAAGTTGTGTAGGCTATATGCACGCGGAGCTGGTAGTGCTGCTGGAAGCTGGTCCGCACTGTCGTACGCCCAGCTGGGCAACGTCTGCGCTGCCAGACGTGGAGCAGTCGTGGCTTGCGATTGTGGTCGTAAAGTCGAATGGTCGTAAGTTGCATAGGTCGTAAGTCGATCAATACCTGTAAAGGAATGCAGTAAACCCGAGCACGACGCATCCCCCCTCCCACCCCGCAAGACGCGCCTTGTCATGCCATGTGCTTTTTTTTAATTTGTGAAGGAACGGTCTGAGTGTACTGTATTTACATTCTTGTGTTCACTGATAATGACTTTCAGATTTCTGGAGCTCCCCAGCTGACAGCAAGCCCCCGAACCCTCCACCTCCCCACAGGCCCCTCTCCCCCGACGGCGTCTGTCCTGCCTCCCTGCGTCAGCTGTGCCTTATAAATGGAGTGCATTCTATCAAAACCAGGACGCCTTCGGAGCTGGAGTGCAGCCAGACCAACGGGGCCCTGTGCTTTATTAATCCCCTTTTCTTGAAAGAGCACAGCCAGGACCTCAGCGGAGGCCTGAAGCGGCCGAGCGCAAGGACTCCCAACGCGAATGGCACCGAGCGGCCTCTGTCCCCCCCACCCAGGCCCCCGCCACCCGCTATTAATAGTCTGCACACAAGCCCTCGGCTGGCCAGGACCGAAACCCAGACGAGCATGCCAGAAACAGTCAACCATAACAAACATGGGAACGTAGCTGTGCCTGGAACCAAACCAGCTCCCGTCCCTCCACCCCGGCTGAAGAAGCAGGCTTCTTTTCTGGAAGCGGAGGGCGGCGCAAAGACCTCGAGCGGCGGCGGGCGGCCGGGCGCGGGCCGGGAGCTGGAGCTGGGCGCAGCTGGCAGCCCAGGTGGGGCCCCGCCTGAGGCCGCCCCGGGCGATTGCACAAGCGCCCCGCCGCCCAGCTCTGAATCACGGCCCCCGTGCCATGGAGGCCGGCAGCGGCTGAGCGACATGAGCATTTCCACTTCCTCCTCCGACTCGCTGGAGTTCGACCGGAGCATGCCTCTGTTCGGCTACGAGGCGGACACCAACAGCAGCCTGGAGGACTACGAGGGGGAGAGTGATCAGGAGACCATGGCGCCCCCCATCAAGTCCAAAAAGAAACGGAGCAGCTCCTTCGTGCTGCCCAAGCTCGTCAAGTCCCAGCTGCAGAAGGTGAGCGGGGTGTTCAGCTCCTTCATGACCCCGGAGAAGCGGATGGTCCGCAGGATCGCCGAGCTGTCCCGGGACAAATGCACCTACTTCGGGTGCCTGGTGCAGGACTACGTGAGCTTCCTGCAGGAGAACAAGGAATGCCACGTGTCCAGCACCGACATGCTGCAGACCATCCGGCAGTTCATGACCCAGGTCAAGAACTATTTGTCTCAGAGCTCGGAGCTGGACCCCCCCATCGAGTCGCTGATCCCTGAAGACCAAATAGGTAAGTACCTGCTGTTTTTAAAAATGTAAAAATCTAACGTAACTCCGTCCGGGCAGCGCAACCTGTGTTTATTTTTGATGAAGCTTACTCCGAAGTTCAAAACAACAGCCAACTCCACCTTCTCTCCCTGTTTGAATGGAAAAATCAGTTTCTCAAAGTAGCTGCTAACTGCCAGGCTCAAAAATGTTTTCGGGAGTGGCAGATTGGAACTGCAGAGTGATTCTGTTCAGGGATGGACTTCGGCCCTCTGCGGGTCCAGTGCGTGCGTGCGTGTGTGTGTGTGTGTGTGTATGTGTGTGTGTGTGTTGCACGTGCTAACGTCTTTGGAATTGTGCTTCTCTGCAGGCTGTGCATACATACAAAAGTATTTTTGTTATTTTCTGAGAGGCAGTGGGTATTTTGTTCTGCCTTGGTTGCAAAGTAAACTTTTTATTGAGGTGTAGCATATGTTCAGAGAGCACAAAACTCAGGGATGCATTGGAATGAGTTTCCACTGCAGGCTTACCTGTGGGACAAGCGCCAGACCCTGGATAAGCAGACCCTTACCAGCATCTAAGGACCCCGGGCCTCCGATCTCCCTCAAGGGCACCATCCTGCTGGCTCCTCCTCATGCCATGGACTTCTGTGAGAGGCACGGCTTGGGAGTAAGCAAAAAAAAAAAAAAAAAAAAAAAATATGTTTTGTTTGTTTTTTAAATAAGTAACATAAGTAACATAGTTTGGAGGTCACATGAAAGGTGTTTTCTCCAACATCAAGGGGAAATACTTTCTTTATAATCTTATCTATGCAATGAGTCCCTAATGGTTTATCTGGCCAAGGCAAATTTGAAATTGGCAAGCAGTCTTTTTTTCCAGGGTGAGAATGTTGAAGGGTTTTTGTTTGTTTGTTGTTTCTAATTTCAGAAGGTTGACTCTCAGAGGTTAATTTCAGAGACTTTATTCACCAGGCAGCAGGAGCCATTGGAGCTACCAAACATTCCCAGGCAGTTCAGAAGTGAAACCCCAATTTTTTCTTTCTGATTGGGTCCATTTGTTGAAAGTAGTAAACAGTGTGTGAGAGAGGGCTCTTTCTCTCTCTCCTCTCTCTTTTCTCCCTTAAGTGATTTTCAGCAGCTCTTTGATTTTCTCACAAAGGAATCAAAGCCTTGTTTGTTTTCTTGTGGTTTGACTGAGGCCAGGCCTGGTTGATCAGGGCGTGGTTAAAGCTGGGGTGTTGCTGGAGTGAGTGGCTAAAGGAATGTGCCCTTGTGAGGTGCCTTCTAATTTAAAAAGGCGTCAGGGAGAGGGCAAAATATCCATACAAGCGGCCTCTTTCCCTGTCCCACCAGAGATCCCCTCTCAAGGGAGACCATATCGGACTCAGTATTAACAGGAACCCAACCTGCAGGGGAAGCTTCCTCTTAGGGACTGGGGTCGGGGAGTGCTGGGCGGAGGGGGGTGTAGCCAGGCAGGCGCTGATGTCAGGCCTGAGCTATGTGGCCAGTGGCGCCAACCAGCCCACAGTGCCTGGCCTTCCCTCCCTGCTGATGCTATAAGTACCAACCCAAGTCCGTCCTGGGAAGCTCTGCAGCCAGCTCCTTTTGTTGTCAAGTTTGGATATGGTACTTGCTCTTAGAACTCAAGGACTCACTCATTTTCTACAAAAACATGCTGAAAATTATACACTTCACTATCCTAGAAGGATGCAGCTTTTAATTTAAAATCATTATGGAGCTTCGAGTATGAGCCCGGCAGCTGGTCCAAGCTATTCCAGTGGGTCCTCGCCTCACCCCTGTGAACAGGCATCGGCATCCTTTACGGATTGGAGGAGGACAGGGAGGGCCATGCCAGGCCATGCCATTTGTCTGCCTGCCACACTATCTAGTAACTAGCAGGTGCCATATTTGAACTTCCGTGGGATCCAAAGCCCTTGTTTGCTGAGCTCACTCTTCGCTGCTGCTGCCTGTGTTCCTATTTTCTCATCAGAAGTTCCGGGGAATTGTAATAGCAGGGCCAACCCTGTGTTGAGGCTGCTCGGACTGACGCTCTCTGTTGAGGCATGGGTATGGCCTCCAGAAGCATTGCTATGTTTTTTCTGTGGGTTTGTTTGGTTTGGTTTTTTAAACTTTTGCACTGAAAGCAGTCAGTTCCTCCTGCTTCTTCACCAGTGAAACATCATTCTGTTTTGAAAGTGCTAGACTTTTGAAATAAAGAGGGTGAATGGGAGAAGAGGTCAACCTGAGAAACTCATCACAAGCCCAGGTGGAAGGAAAGATGTGACCCTAATTATTAGAAAGCCAATCCCCATAGAGGTGCACTTTACTATATTACTCTGACGAGAACGTGGACTTAGCCAGCCCACTTGTCTGTGTTTTACATTTTCCTAAACGAAGGAATCACTAGCTTACTAAGGACTTGTCAGTACAATACCTTTAAGACTCATAACTGACTCAAGGTTGGTATATTTGAATAGATATTGTTCATGTTTTGCAAATTCAGGAACAGAGGCCAGGATGTGTAGAGAGATATGCAGAGGTGATGTCTCGGTTAGGAGGGGAGCTTGCATTCAGTCAGATCTTCTTATCTTGCTTGTGCACTAATTCCCACTGTATCTGACTTCCTGTGCAAAACACCAGATAGTCTTCACGTTGACTGCCACCCTCAGAATTCCAAGCCTCAAATTTGTTCTGAATAGGTGTCCACTGATGCCTATAAGGGTTTTTGAGAATGCCAGTTGGGTTTCTCTGCTTTAAAAAAAAAATCTAGTTCTATCCTCATTTCCTGTAGCTTCTGAAGAAGATAGCTCTGAACTACAAGACAGAATTCTAATTTAAAGCCTAGATTTATGGAACATCCTGAAGTCAAGAAGGTAGGAGGACGTATTATACTGGTTTAATCAATGTGTGTTAAAGCAGTCATTCTTAGTTGGAAATGACCCTATGAATGCATGCACATGTATCTGTTTAGTATATGGAGATAATACTCATCTGTCTTCTTCAGAGAGTGGTTCTTCAGTTGCATAGAGAAAAGCTAATGAGAAAAACAAATAGTTCTCACTCACTTTCCTTTTGCCCATGTGCTGGTGTCACTACCCCTTTCAGCACTTTCTAGAAGTGCAAATGATCAACAGTGAATCAATCTCAAAACCGAAAAACTGCCCTGTAAATAATTATGGAGAATTTGCATTCTATTTAGATTATGCTTTGGAGCACTTCCAACCAAAAGCCCCCCCCCCCCCCCCATGCAGAGGTTCCTGAATACATCTTCATTGCCTGGCACCAGCTTGGTTCTCCTGATTGGAGAATGAAGCCAACGCGGGTAAGACACGGGTTTGTTCCCGTGTGTGCTAGCTCTCCATTCATTCCAGGCCACTTACCAGGCTTCCCTCCCAGAGAGCCATCACCTACTCTCACCCCTCCCGAGTGGTACCTGGAAGAACAAACAATTGCTTTAATAAGAGTGTGCAGTTTTGGGGCCCTACTGAAAGCCTTGATATCAACCACCTCATAGACAGTGTGCTGCACTCATTGCTGACGTCCCGTGCTATAGGATGTAAATGGGGTGAAATCACTTCCTGCTCCCACACATGCTCCTCACTGGTGGGTGTTCACATCCCCATCCCACCACTCTTGCTTTGGTCTTTTCAACCCATGGGGGAAATCTATCCAAAATTTCTGGTAGAGAAAGCTTCACTTTGCAGAACTTGTTGCAATGTTCTGGTTAGTGTTTTCATTTTAGTCAAATAGTGTTTATTTCTGACTTGTTGTCAGCCTTAGGAAATCCCTCTGTTTTCAAGGCGTGTTTCAAGAAAAACAAAATTTGTCCAACTCCAAAAATGTTAGTAAACTTAAAATTTTCGATTTCATTCAGATACTCACCACAGACTATCAGCAGTGATACAAAAGAAACAAATGTTCATATTCCTAAAAGTGGGGAAAACAGGATGGTACTATGTTTATTTAAGTGCTACAAACCAAAATGTACATTTTCCCCAAAAAGCAATTTAATGATTTGAAGAAAAAGTATCCTTAAAATCAGTTACCACTTATTTCAAAGATCACTTCGATTTATGTATCCGAGTGTTTTTTGTGTGTTAATAGAGAAATGATACGGAAAATGTGGTTAGATGTCAGGGAGTACAGCGCACATAGAAAAGGGGATTGAAATGATTCCCAGGGAGTTAAACAATCATAACTACTCTGGTTCAGATCTGCTGTTTGTTTTTTTAAAAAATGCATAGTTAAGTTGGCTGTAGCTTCAATATCTAGAGTGTGACTTGTTTTTAATTTTTCAGGTCACAGTTTTTTTCAAGCCCCTGAGTTATCATTTCTTTTCTTTTTTTTTTTTTTTTTTGACAAAGAGCTATTCTGGGTCTGGGCGCAGTGGCTCACACCTGTAATCCCAGCACTTTGGGAGGCCGAGGCAGGCAGATCACTGGAGGTCAGGAGTTCAAGATCAGCCCGGCCACCATGGGGAAACCCGGTCTCTACTAAAAACACAAAAAATTAGCCAAGTGGTGGTGATTGACACGTGTAATTCCAGCTACTCTGGAGGCTGAGGCAGGAGAATTGCTTGAACCCAGGAGGCAGAGGTTGCATTGAACCGAGATCGCACCATTGCACTCCAGCCCACACGACAAGAGCAAAACTCCATCTAAAAAAAAAAAGCTATTTTGAGAGGTGTAACCAGGGAAGAATGTTAGTGCCAAACAGAGATTAAAACCTTGAATCCTCTGACTTCTGATCTAGTACATGTGACCCTATCGCCTGAAGGAACAAATGCCCTTGCAGACTTAACAAGAGGCAGATAAAAAGAAGAAAGATTGCGGTGTGCAAAAGGATACCTACCTATCTTACGTCCCAAAATTAATTTAAATAGAAGACCACAATAAGAAGCACCTGTTTCTCCCCTGTGGGGCATCCTTTGTTGACTAATGTTCACTCTAGGGCATCAAAACGCGGTCGATTATGTTACATCAACCAAAACAAGGCGACACCCTGGAGTTGTGACTGACCCTGAGTC